ATTGAATTGGATTGGGATGAATCCATATTTGATCCTATTTTAAACAAATTGTCTTAATTGGATTAGATTTCATTTCAATGCAAATTAATACCATTTGCCATCTTGTTTTTTAGCCCATGAATAGGCATACAACCTTGGCAAGGATGTGTGCTCATTTTAGATGCATGTGTAAGCAATGGTGTGAATAGATATCTCAATCTACTTGAAAGTTGGCAAATAAATGGAGTCCACGTATCATAGGCTAGTGTCCAAATCCCATATATCCAATGTTGGTCCCAGTTACATGGAACTGGGATCCAATCCTCACAAAGTGCTCCTCACACCGACCTCACAGCCATATCCCATCGTGTATTGAGAACATCTCCACATGAATAATAACATACAAGTGTGGGAGATGTTTTTGATGTGTGGCTTGGACATGGTGTGAGGTTGGTGTAAGGAGCACTCTGTGAAGAGCAGATCTAGACTCATTTACATGGGGTCTTAGGAGGGGAAGATTGGATAGGGTCCCAACCTTTTGGCATTTTTTTTTTCACAAAGTGGCTGCTCTCATGCTTGAACCTGATTGATCTATATAATTGGGCTTGTGTGGTTTGTTTCTCCTTGAGTACTCGACCCGTTGATAGCCCTAATGGTATGATACATGTGTTTCTATTACATGGATTTCATAATATTTATTATTTTATTTTAATTATATTTTGTTTTATTTACAACACATGATAAGACCTTGTGAGTGGTGGTGTGCTTGCATTTCCTACTTTGCTCGAGTAGTTTTAGCATACAAACTTTTGTATTTGATTGCTACCTTTATCAAGTAATACGATTACTAATTGTTGCTGGCCAAAATGAGCCAAGGGCAACACTGTAAATTCGCTCCTAAGCGGCGGTGTGGTCAAGTAGTCTGAGGCTCAAAGTGTCACAGGGCTGATAGGCCCGTCCTGCGAGGAGTGAAGAAAGGAGAACGTCAGAGGCCCCGGGTTGGTACCCGAGGCAGAGACTCCGACGGTCAAGTTAGTACGAATGCATTGCAAGGTGGACAAGGCTTGAGGTGCGAACACTCAGATGAGGCCACAAAGGAGACTAAGGGTTCTCTGTCTATTCTTGAGTCTAAGTTCCAATCCTTTACCTTGAGGGGGGTTGTTTCCTATTTATACTTGAGGCCACCTGGAGGTAGGTGAGCTCAAACGGTCTAGATGTGGTCCATACACGAGGGGCGTGGTCATCCGAGGTCACTAGGTGACTCTACGCCATTGGTCCCGGAATGCCCGCCATGCTCTGTTCTACGCACGCATTGATTGGGTCCGCTCTGAACGTCATCGCCAAACGCGTGCAAGCCTGCTATTGGGCAAGGCCATATGCGCCTACATCATTTGCCTCCACTCTCGATGCCATGGTGGAGGTCTGAGTTGAGGACCTCAACTTCGGCCAAAGAGAGTGTGTCAGTTGTACTGGGAGGCACTATTGGACCTTTTGGATAAGGATCTCGGCCTCGGGTTGTCGGGGATGAGCATGACGTGGCTTGTGGTGGCATTGACTTAATCTTCGTTCCCTTCTCCAAGGGGTGCTGTGGATGCTTTTGCTACTGGGAGGCCTCCGCCTTGGCTTTGGTGTCCGCACCTAAGATGGATGAGGGGAACCTTGCCCCCCTATCCTGTTTCTTTTCTTGGTGCAGAGACAAATCCGTGGAGGCCTCGGCCTCGGTTGGAGGTGCCGAGGGCATAACACTTAGAGGCGTGAGGTTGCGACTTAGTCATTTGTAGGGTGGAACCACTGTCAGTCTACGAACCGTGAGGGAGACGAGTCTTGATGACGGGTGTAGACCGTGCGCGACACGGGCCTTAAACTACTCAACCACACCTTGGCTTAGAAGCGAATTGACATTATTACCCTCAGCCCATTTCGGCCAGCAACACTAATAAACAATGTTTATTAGAGGCTCATCTTCAACCGTATGGAAAACTGAATTCTATTATGTTGTTAGATGCTTGTTTCACTTTTTATTCACTCATTTTGATAAGTATTCATTCTCGCTTTATTTGCAGGCATCATCTCCATTGATCTCATAGTTTCTTTTTTATTTTTTCTCTTTTTTTTGCTTTATCTTATTGCTTAGTCTGTTTATACTTTTAATTTACTTCTTATTATTTTGAATAATATTATGGAGGAAAAGCTCTCTAGAAAGGTTTTTTTGTCTCTTTTTTTTCTTTTATCTTTTATATTTTTGAGAATATTATTTTAAGTGCATGCATTGCAAACTAGATTATTTGTGAATTACAAATCCAAGTGAATTTGAGGTGATTTGGAGGAAGACGGACTTGAAGTAGACGAATTATATTTATCTTTGCCTATTTTGTTCTTCCCTTCCTTTTGGATTTTTTGTTGCAACATATCCTGACAATTTGATATTAAATCTACGTCAAAATAGATGTTATAATTATAAACAGCAATTATGAACTGAAGAGACAGGAAGTAAAGTTCATTGACTATCTAAATAATCAAATCAAGAAGTTTCGTATTAACAGCAACTTGGTTCAACCAAGCAATCTGAGGGGAAAAAATACAGCTTTTGGTTTAGTTTGTTTGCAAAGCAATGTGATACAAAAGTATGGGAGTGCAAATGAATTGTATGAAAATTCTGATTTACTTTTATTATAGATTTTACTTCCGTTTATTATTTGTAGTGTAAATGAAGTAAAATAAAACCTCAAACAAAACCCAAAGCAAGAGTGAACTAAAATTTAAATTTAATTTGGTCTTTTTTTCTTTCAAGAGGTGACCTTTTAGGTGAGACACATGGTGAAAAGGGAGCCCACATTACTGCACTTTATGATGAAATTGCGCCTTACTACAATTATGATGAAGGCTCCCTTAATAACACCGGTGTATCTAATTTTGTAACATCACAGTCATATCATCATCATCATCAACAACATCATAATACTCACAAAATATTGGAAAAAAAAAACCATGAGTTGGGGTGGGGTGCTCAATTTATGGTTGATTTCATATTTCTTTCTGTTTAAGAAGGCAATTGGGCGCTTTGTATATTTGTGGTACTGGTTTTAGAACCCTGGTTCATTCTTCAGTCATCACAAAATTGTGCTCACACCGTGTTCATGATCCTTTTCAGTTGTGTATTGAGAATATCTCCATACTTATAGTTCTTTATTTATGGGGAGATGTTCCCAATGTATGCTAAAAAGAGTTGTAAAAATGGTGCTGCGAGCACAATTTTATGAAGACCAAATTCGATTTTGGATTTCTGATCCTAGATTCAGCAAAACATTTTATGATATTTTCAAGAGGGAAACATGGTTGGCTGATCTAAAGATGATAAGGCAATTCCATGGTGTATGAGTGTATCACACACCAATATGACTCTAACTATGATGTTTCTACTTGATGATGACCCTACAATCAAGAGTAAGTGAAAGTAGATGAAGACATGAATGGTACAATCAATGCTATTATATCATGGTTCAAAAATGAACTACAAATGGAATAACCTCTTTTGCATTGTGTGGTTAAAAAAATAGTATGAATATGAAACCAAACCAAATACCACTCTTTTCCAGAACTATACCGAGTGTATATATTAAGATGTATTATTTTCCCTTTCCCATCATAGAAAAATGACTTATATGCATGAAGTATTTTAGTATCCCTAGTGTAAGAATACATATTATGCAGGTGTGTAAGTATTAACCATACATGATCATAGTATTTGGGGTGCAACTATTTGCCTTATATGACATAGTATGGCCCTCACAAAGATTTTATAAATGAGAAAAGCGATTCCATTATATATTTAGGCATTGGTTTATCAAATCAAATAATAAAATTTCCTTAATAAACCAAGCCATTATCCATTAATATTGTCAAAAGTTACTTTACCATATTTATCCACACAAGATGGGATGGAAACGTAAAACAACCATTGAACCAGGGAACCTAAAAACCAAAATGTTTTTTTTTTTTTTTTTCAATTAAACCATCCGGTCCAAAAGTTTGTTTTGCCTCTTAGATTATTTTGATAGCAACTGAAGCTGAAGTGGCTAAAATAAATGACTCTTCAATAGTAGCTGGGTTGATTACTATGCCCATGAAATACCTTATTTTTTAATTATTTTATCCAACAAAAGCAAAGAAAGAAGTGATTCTTTTATTTTTTTTTAATTTTTCGTTCGGCCACTTTATTTGAGCCCAAAACCACCCAAGGTGCTTTTTCCCGCCAATCTGGTCCAAGTCCAAACTATTGACAGGCCCATTGGCCATTAAAGCCTTCCTTCTCGTCCCTTTTTATGAGTTCAAATCACCCTCACGAGATTGCTCCCCACAACGTTCCACAGTGCATTCAAGCCGTGTATTATGAATATCATCATATGGGCTGTTAGTCTGCAACTCCTTGGAAGTTGGAAGCTGGAACAACGGAGATGGCTATAATATTAAGCTGTTAAAGCATGCACGTGAAGTAAGAAATTGGAGTGGTTGTGGGGCCCATATACTTGATGGCTGACGTGGGCTGTTTTCATTGGTTAAATGGCTCCTAATACAGCCATCGAGTTGCAGCTGATCCGGGCTTTTCTCCCGTGAAAAGCTGTACTTCTGTCGGAGAGTCTGCAGATCAGATGGTTAGAATCATCCCATCACGCGAACTTTTTATCTTGACTTGCGTTGGTGGGCTGCACTCCATTACCACGTGAAAAATTATCCAGGCTTCGTTCTTTAGCGGATTTGGCAGATGGAGAATACTGTCCTACGTAACGTACTTTCGTATCACAATATTACTACATTTCCACGCCACTAGATTTGAAGACCTTGAGACTAATCTCTCTTCTTTAGCGTCAGATCCTGATCTTTGCAATCAGAACCATGAAGCCGAACTCATTGGATCCAAGTTTCCAACGGCTAATTAATTTCAGTTGGATTTCGGTAGTTTTGTAAATTTCGATGAACCAATAAAAGTTTCAGTAATTTTACTCAGTTGCAGAGCCTTTACAGTCCCAACTGTTCAAGCTCCTTAAATTTCAGGGTTTCCCGCCCAAGCAACATTTTCAGATTTCTTCTTATTATTATTGCTTTTCTCTCTTTGGTTCACATATATGGAAACTAGTAACTGCAGAAACTGCTCTTTCGGAGAATAACTGCAGGAAGTCGAAGTTCCAGGAAGTCTGTATCTATCCCTCTCTGCGTCTCACAGAGACGATGAGCAAACCCTAATTGTCTTCTTTGTTTTTCAGCAATGCCGAACCTCGATGTCTTCAACTCATCTTCGTTGGCACTCCCTCATTGCCCTAATCTTTTATCAGTGTCAGATTTCTGTGATTCGAGTGATTCCTTGTACCCCAGTTCAGTTCAGTCGGAAACCCTAGAGAAAAAGAATGGGTGGTGTTGCAGTTGGGAGCAAAGACGTCGGTACCCAAATGGGAGTAAAGAAGGCATTGCTGGAAGGAATGGTTTAGGGATTAAGTTTGTAAGGAGGGACTCTAAGCGGCTGGCTCGAGGGGAAATGGAACGGACTAAGAAGGCAGTGATGGGTAAGTCTTTGGAGGATCATGTGAAGGCTTGGGCGGAGAAGAAGGTTGCATCAGGTGTTCCTGAAAAGGAATGCTTCCTCCCATTCCTTGTCAATGCTACTAAAATGGTGATTCTCTTCTTTCTTTTCTGCTTGGGTTTTTGTTTTCTTTGGGTTCTTTAGGACCTTCTGTTTTATTTTCTGTGAATCAGGATGCGATTTTTTTTTTGATCAGTGTGAGCAGGATGCAATTATGCTGGAATTATCTTTAATTGCTGTAGTAAGATGGGGAATCTATTGCAATTGTTCAAGCATAGTCTTTTATATTGAAAACTGTGCTTCTAGTTTAGCTTGGTACCATCGTTCCATTGTTTATGATTTCCCTCCTTATTCTTTGCTCTTACTTTTTTTTTTTGTATTTTTTTATTATGATGACGGAATTTTTCTCCTCCAAAAGTTGAACATTTGTGGACCTAATTGGACATTTTAAGGCATGGATGGATTTTGCAGATGGATACCTACCTACCTTATTTTAATTGTTTTTGGCACTAAAAATGATCCCTTTGGTCATGCCTATTTCAGTATCTAAATAGCTATTTTACTGTTTGGAGGTCATGTTACTTGAAATGGACTTTGATTGAAATAGAGATTGAACCAACATACTTCTGCATCTTCAATGAACTCTAATGTTCCCAATTTTGTTTTTTTATTATTTAAAATTCTGAAATGTTTGGATCTGTTTCATTTATAATGATTGAAGTGGCTGAATTGAATGGCTAATTTCTTTGTCTTTTAGTGAATTAATCATTAAGTAGGCTGTGAGCTCCTTAATGGATGAATTTCATGTGGGTTGAGTATTATACTGATAAATATTTTATTATATGACTATTTCATCAATTCAAAGATAATGAATTAAGCCATTTAGTTCAGCCACTTAAGCTAATATAAAAAATCTACTAATTATTCTGACAAAGACCAATTTTTATCAGGTGCTTTGACCTAGCACTGAACCAAAATTTGGGTGGAAATTTGTCATTTGAACCTAAACAAGGGAAAATACCATTCTTTTTTTATATTTTTCCTATTTGTTCTCAATCTTTCCTATTTCTTCTTGAACTCTTGTATTTCAACTATGTTCTAGTCCCCTTCTATATCCACAGATGCAAAGATGGAGAAGAGTGTGTTTAGCAACAACAGTTGAAGCGATACTCTGGTGAGAAGGAATGAAGGAGGAAGAAGAAGGTGTTGAGTTGGAAAGTAATACTTCATGTGGGTCTCATTTGATTGTGCAAGGAAGGCTTGAGAAAGGAGAAACTAATTTGGAGTCCGAAAAGAAGGAAACCACAATGTTGACGGACGTGCTTCCATTTAAGGATAATTTTTTAAATAATTTTGAACCCAATCCTACACTTTAAAACAACCCTACACACTGATCTTATAATGAAGCACTTCAAAAGGCGGCCAATCCTTTATTAGAAGGGGGAATTGAAAGGTGTGGGTTAAACCCGAATTGAACCAGATCGGGCTGACCCGAAAGTAGGGATGGATGTCTTAGAGTCACGTGACTTTTTACAAAAAAGCCCAATTTGTTGTAACTTGTTGATGAGGGATGATACTTACCATCTATCATTGTCCCCATCTATTGGTTCAGTTGTTGGGCGGATGCTAACGAAGGAAATCTTCCATAGAGTAGGTCGGACCTGTACTAAGGTTATCCCAAAGCCCTCCTCGATGTCTAAGAGGAGATTGAAACCAAAAGGTAAGGACCTTGCGTGGGTTCAATGTCAAGTAGAAATCTTAACCACCCTAGAGAAGCCTAATCCGTGCTACAATAGGAAACACCCAGATGACTCAGACTCTGAGGAAGAAATGGATTGGGAGGACCTCAGTTTTGCAGAAGAAGAGGAGGTTGAGCAACCTTCAAGTATTGGAGGTATGACACTACAAAAGGCTGCAAACATTTCGACTTTGACCAGTTAGGTATGGAGTTGCTCTTTGAGGAAACCTTTGCTACGAAAACTCTTGAGTTGAATGATATGGAGGAACGAAAAGGAATTTGTTCGTTTAGGGGAAATCCAAATGTGCTATTAAGAGAAGAGAACATAGAAACAATTCAAAAGGAGCCAAATCTAAATACACGTGAGGAACAAATTGATTTGGTTGTACGAGTTGAATTTGGAAAGGAGTATGCCACACTAGAGCTTAGTCTTATGGAGGAATTTGTCACGCAACCTCAAGGAGTATCCTCACCCATGTTGGAAGGGTTAGGATCCATCAAATGGATGGCTGAACCATGCTAGATGGATGGGGAAAATTTCAAAAATTTCCTAATCCTTTCGGGAATCGAATTCCTTATGTTTTGAAAAATTGCATTTTTCTGAATCGGTCTTGCACTAAATTGGACCAAATTTGAAATGAAACAAAGAAGGAGGTTTGTACCTATTATGGATATCACAAATGTAGATCCCAATATGGAAGTTCACCCCCAAATCAGTCCTAAAACCAGCCTCCACTGAAGATGGTGTAGTGTATAGGTGAAGCTGGTTTAGCAACACAGTTTTCAGCAAAACTACAACCCAACTGCTTGGGTCGAACTAGGGAAGGTGAGCTTGAAATCCCTTTGAATTTTTCTTGCAAAAGTCAGAAGAAGACTGATCTCTATCAGTCCTTGAAAGCTGATGTCGAACTGGGAAAAAAACTGGGAGACAAAAAGGGTGTAGAGAGAACTAGAAACTACAAAAATATGAAGCTGTCTTTGACTGGTCTGCCCCCTCCTCTTTTATAATCTCTTATGGAGCTATTTCCTAATCTAATTAGGAGATAATTCAGATCTAAATCAGATTGGTACTCTAATTAGAGATATACCTTATCTTCTTATAAGATTAGTGCTCCATTCCCAGATCCAAACCCAGATTCGCCTCATGGCACATGACAACGTTGTCATGTGGCAGCTTAATTAATCATATTAATTATGGGCCTTAGGCCCGCCGGCTATAAGGCTCACGATCCAAGGGTGTTGCATGGCCAACTTAGGCCTGATTTGTATGGCATGGGACCCCACAATGACCTCACATAAGTTTACATTGGGTTTGGCCCAGCCTCTATGAAAAGGCTTGGCCGAATTTACTGCTAAACATAGTGAACCCCTGAGCACATCACTATGGGTTCAATATGGGCCCAACATTTACACTAAATGATCATTGAATTTAGCCATCCTATGAAGACCCAAGGATAATGGACTTAAGTAAGATACAACCCATCAGGTAATCAACTTTGTAATGGTCTCTTACACTTAACCTCTCGGCCCATAATGATCAAACACTACCCGACAGGGAAGGACCTCTCCCCTGGCTACAAGGTGTAGTGTCACACTCTCTACTGAGATGGATCTTAGGAATTAAAACCTTTTTGCAAACATTTTTTTTTTTCATAAAACATTAATATATATATATCATATAAATATATTATGCAAAACCAAATCTCAAACACAGTTGAAATCCACTATCGGCTGTTTAGGTTTCCATAAGAGAGAGTGTAAGTCCTATCAATCACTTTGTGCGACAAAGGAGCCGATCCTATTACTATGATCACCCACTCAAATGAATTCTCATATTGCCCCAACATACCTAGGTTTTGACCCTTGATGGATTTCACTGATTGGCATATCAAAGACAACCCAATCCAACACTTAGTGCTGTACCATAGTCGAGTCTAGGCCTCTAGGGGTTATGTGTGGCTTTCCAATTTTGTCCATCAATCTGCAAGGTCCAGGGCATAACAAGAAAATGGTCCGGGTTCAGTGTGTCATCCAAACACACACTGCATGTGCTTCGGGTCTAACCCTAACAGTTGAGATAAACTACCCCAACTTCTTTGGCAGCACATCAGTGCCAGCCTTGGCAGGATAAACTCCCCAAGTCTATCCAATGGTTGAGAACTTTCTAAACTAACACAAGTCTCATAAGTATCTAGTTTAAGGGGTAATTACATAGAAACATACCAATATCAGCATGAAACAATAATGCACTTTTATTCATTTACAATAAATGTATTTATACATCAATTTGATTGGAGCTAAGGGCATATACTGTCTAACAATCCATCCCTCTATTTTCTACTCCCCTAATCTTCTCCATGTTGGCTTTGTAGATCCAATTGTACCTCATATTTCAGCTACGAACAATGATTTGAATGTCTCTGAAAGGTTGGAAGGGGATAAGTTAGTGCCAGGGGAAGAGAAGGTAATAATGAAGCTGGTTTTAGAAAATTTCTCTACCTTGATTGCTCTTGAGGAAAAAGATGAAGGGAGTATGGACTGGTGGGAGGTTAGGTTGTGAAAATATCTCAGGGTGGGAAAGAACTAGAGAATCAAACCGTTGGAGGAACAATCACCAAACCCTCTTGAAGGAGGGATAAAAGAACAAAAGAAGTCAAAGAAGGAAATGCAAACTTGAAAGCTTATGTGAGGAAAGAAGGGGGAGGGGAGATACAATGCAAGAAAAAAGAGGAGTGAAGTGGAAACCGGTGTCTCCTATGAGAAGAATGAGAATCGAAAGAGGGTGAGGTAAGGAGGGAAATTTTAAGAGAGTAGAGAAGTGATAGGGTCTAGAACTGGACCTGCATGGGAGGATCTCCTAAGAAATGGTAAAGATTGTTAGAGGTGCTTAAAATGATGTAGGAAAAATGAGAGATGTGTTTGTTAGATCAATTGAAGAAACTTTTGATTGGTTAGTAACTTAGAATGCTTTAAAGCAGTGTTTTAAAATGCGGAGGCGTGACGTGAGGCGTTCCACTACCTGGAGGCATGAGGCGTAGTTCAGAACGCGGGAGGTGTAAGCCTCCCGAGCACAGGGAGGCGTAAGCCTCAACTATCTATTTTTTTTTATAATTATAGTTGGTATATTAATAAAAAATAGATATTTTAAGCATAAAAACATATATAACACTAAAGTGACTTAATTTCAATCAAGATTTGAGTTCTAAATCTCAAGTTTTCAACTCCAACTAACAATATAACATAGTGAAAATGTGAAATACAATTCTTGATTCAAGTATGCAACATAGATCACAAAAAAACAAAACTCTAGGACTGAAACTCAATCAAATCATCTTCTTCTAGAATAACAAAG